TGTCCTGTCTCTAGTGATGAACAGCGATGGAAGAATAGAGCAAATAAATCCTTCCCTCTTCAGTTTGCTTCTGGTTATAGTGTTCTATCACAGGAAAAGTAACTTTAACTAAGACACTGGTCTAGCCAGCAGAATCTAGAACCTTGGCATAACTCAGAGGAAGGGGTGATGAGAGTTTCAACAAAATTGCTACTATCTATCTATCTATCTATCTATCTATCTATCTATCTATTATCATAGATATATCTATGATAGATAGTATAATACACACACATACACACATATACTGGTGTTGTATTGTCTGTCTATCTGCAGCCCCGCCCTCTAGTTTTGATTCCATTTATGTTAAGAATGAAAAGGTATTATATACTAGGTGTATAGCCTTGGAGTTCAAAGTCTTACCTTTTAAATGTTAAGCTATTCAAAATGGGATACATATTTTCATTTATTACATCAACTATGTTTTCTAGAACTCTCTTTTCTTCCAAAATATCCTATATTGTTGTCTTGTATGGCTCAGGTAAAACATTTTCTACTGACATTTAGTTTGTTTTCTTTTTCCCATTATAAACCATACCCTAGTCAACACCCTTGAATACTGGATAATTAGTCTCTGTTGCCTGAGAGGCTGAACCTCATCTCCTAGGATCGTGTTCATGTCTGTGTGCCTCCAGGAGCCAGCTCTGTGATGGGCTCAGTGGGGAACCCAGAGGAGACACAGGATACCCCTCCCGCTGGAAGCTGTGATCTTAGGAAGAAAGTCAGACCCCACGAACAAGGGACTTGTCTCTGTAGCCACAGGACGTCATGGGGTGAGAAATAGGCCTGACAAGTGATTTGGGGAGCCATAATGGCTTGAGGCTGTATGGATGAGAAGAGATTGTTCCCTGATGAGTGCCCCACCCCCCGCCCCGCTTGAGGATTCCTTGGGTCCTGGAATGTGTAGCAGAGGTACCCTCCATAGTATTGTTTGTATATTGTCTTAGGTGCTCCTCCACCATTTTTCTCAAGCCTTTTGTTTCTCTGTTTCCTTTTTGTACTTGCTGTTGTTGTTATCATTATTATTAATTCTTAAAGATAAAGACCCAACAAAAGTCTGAGACCCGGCCTCTGGGAAGTCCGAGTGTAACCTCCCATTTCTGCTTTATGTTCTACTATATATGCCTGTTTGCACAAATAATGTAAACTCTTGTTCTATGTGTTTAAAACTTTGCAGACCTTTTCAGCAAGATGTAAACAGGCAAGTCCTGAGAGGTGATGTTCCTCTGTAAACCTGTCAGCTCTATGGAGTAGTTAGTGCAGTGTGAATGGTTGACCATACACAGTTCCTTTCCCTCACACAGGTCTCTTCTGTCTGTTGGTTTCCTTAGATACCCCGCTGAGGCCTGGCACTAATTTCTGATGGCTTCTGAAACACACTAGACTAAGATCTGAGTTCATCAAAACCAAAGCTCTAGTTTCAAGGAGCCTCTGTATTGTGGGGTAGAGGTGAGAGGGGAGAGAGGAGAACATGGAAGCTATGATCATGGTGGCATAGGCTTTAACCTCAGCACTTGGGAGGGGAGACAGGAACTCTGGAATCCTCCCTAGAGTCTCCAGAAATGAAGCCACAGAGAGGTTGCCTGCTAACGACCTCTGTGGCTTAAGCCTACCTAACATAGGATATATTAGGGAGACATTGTTGTCTGGTTTGGACTTTCAAAATTGGGAATGAGATTCACTGATCAAATGATTTAGAGAATCTTGGTCTCTATCTCTCAGGATCTAAATGAGCAACACACACTTGTTCAGTTGGCTGGAGAGCGCTTGCACAGAATGCAAAAAGCTCTAGGTTGGATTCCCAGCATCATTTCAGACAGGTATGGTGGCACATGTTTGTAATTCGAACACTCCAGAGGTAGAGGTGGGAAGAGCAGAATATATTCAGCTACAGATTGACTCTGAGGCAAGCCTGGACTACAGGAGGCCTGGTTTAAAAGAAGCAAGACAAAAATAAAATCAAAATAAATGAAGTAAAATTGTCTTGTCTTCCTTGGGAAAACTTGTCTCTGGTAGTGAAGAAGAGCAGGAAGTACTCGGGCCCATGATGCTAAAAGGTGACAGGATGGACAGCTGATTATTTTGCCCCAAGGAAGGTGTTGGTGTCGGTGAGGATGAAGGGATCATATCACCTGGCTGATATCATGATACCCTATGATACCATATCTCTGAACTGAGAGCTGGCCTGGCCCAGTCCTCCTTTCTCTTCAGTGCAAACCTTTGAGTTCCGCATCCTTGTGCTGTAGGATTTTATTGTATTTCACTTTTCAAGCTGAAGAATACTGGATGAGGCCCTTTGTGGGGGGAAAGAAAACAATGAGGAAAGATTTTAAAAAGTTTCTTTTTGACTAAGAACAAGTCATGGTAAGGTACCACACATGAAATTGCCACCAGCCTTTCTACCCACGGCTGCTTTCCCTCCTTTTTGTTCCTTCCTTCTTCCTCTGACACCTTTGCACAATACTCTTAATGCAATAAAGTTGCATTCATTCTGTGTGTTTTTTTTTCTAATCAACTTTCAAGTGAAGAAAAATGGGAGTCGTTTAATTTAATTTAATTTTATTTTTTTGGCTTTAAAAAATGTGTATGTCTCCTTTCTGTTTGCTAAACAGTAATTGCAGATCTTCCTGGCCACCTTTAATACACCCAGCTAATTATCCTGAAATAAATCTCTTTCAAGCCTGCATGCCAGCAGTTCTGGGATCCGAGCGGCTCTTTCAGCTCCTGGCCGCCTGTCACTCAAATGGGCCTCAGCTGCAACTCTGAAAGATGAGTATTAATCTCCCGCTGGGAAGATTCGCCCAATCTCCCGCTTCCAACCACAGCTCCCAGGATCTACCTGTTGGTCTAAGCCGGGATTTTCTTTTGCGAATGCTGTGATTTTGCAAAGTGGAAGAGGATTCCTGGGAGAAAGACAGTCAGTTAACCTTCTCCTAATTGCCATTCAAGATGGAAAGGGGAGAGACCGCTGTACTGGGATGGGGGCAGGGCTGAGGAATGGCCCAGGAAGTGCCGGGGTTCCTTGAAGAGCCAAGAGAGCTACTTCCAGAGCCAGGGTTTGTGTCCACACTTCTGTCCCCGGGTGGTGATTATTTCCACCAATGGTCTCCTCATCTCTCTGAACCTTTATGTCCCTCCAAGTGTCCTTTTCGAAATACCCTGGCTTTGTCTTCCTCTGCCCAAGCTCTCTTCCCTTCTGCATTTTTCTTTTGCTCAGCAGTTTCTTATTGATCCGTAGCCTAGATATTTCCCCAGGATTTTGTGTCGGGTCCCATTTGCCTCTGCCAACTGAAGCAGGATCTCCCCATCCCAGCCCACCTCAAATTCCCTCAGCCATTTTCCCTTGGCTTCTTTTCTGTGTCTTAACGGTGTCACAGGCACCGCCAAGAGTCACAATCTAGTTGGGTGAGTGAATTGTAGTAAATAGTGAATCCTGTGGCCACACATTGTACCACCTTACTACATTGGTTTCTCTGAAACCTTCTCTTTCTCTGTTGGGTAGACTGAGCCATCTTTTATCTCCTTGTAGGAGATAAAACACCCTTGGCCACTGCTCGGCAGAGTCATATGACTTGTAGGGGTCTGAGAACAAATGTTAACCTTTGGCTTTGGCCAATAAATGCCATGTCTAGGTTGCAGCTATAAGAACCTACTGTTCTCTTTTCTTTCTGTTCTGCCTGCTGGCAACGTTCCAGAGGGTAACTGCTGCTTCTGCTTGGATCTTGGAGTAAGAACCTGAAGTGGGTCTCTCTTAGACATAGGATGTGAACAAGAAATAAACCTTTGCTTATTTTGTAGCTATTGTGGTGCAACCTAACCTCTACTAACAGATACACAAATATATCTCTCCGTATCTATGTGAGGTTTCATTTGCCCAGTGTCTTTCTGTATATTACTCATTTGTATATGTATAGGGATTTTCTTTTTTTTTTTTGTTTCTCTCTTTCTTTTAATGAAGCCTTTTAAAAAAAATATTGCAAACCAGATATTGGAAATCAAAATCTTGGCTAAAGAGAAAAAGAAATGTCCTTCTTTGCTTAGCTGCTTCTTCTGGAGAGATGAACCTTAGGAACATCAAATACTTCCTATGTGTGCTGTCGGAATTCATCTGAGCAGCGTTGCCACATGTGCTCACGAGGGCATGTACATAACAACCAAGGGGAAAGGTGCTTTCCAGAACTTTAACGTACTGGTTGTGTAGATCATTTTGGAAAGAGTCTGCTATGGGGCTGGAGGGTCTGTTCAGTGGGTAAGGATATGAACTGTTCTTACACAGTTCCAACTACAGTTCTCAACTCCAGGTCAGCAGCTTACAATCACTTATTGTCTAGCTCCAGGAGAACCTGTTCTCCATGGACACCTGCACACACATACCCATCCATATCCACAATATATTTAATTAAAAGACAATGATAATAAATATTTTTCAAAAGGAGTGTTTACGAGAGCAATTGGAGTTCTAGTGAGCAACTGCTCATGGTGATTCTTCCCACCATTAACAGAAAGCCAGCCAGTTCATTCTGCAGGCTGCTCTGAGCACTCCCAGACCACTGTAGGAGAGAGTGGAATTCTTTAACTATACTGCAACTTTGAAGCAACACAGACAAAATGTGAGCATCAGGCTTCCAGTCAGTCCATCTTCCCACAGAGCTCAGCTCCAGGGAAACCTTTAGGGCTCGTACTCAGTTACATTCAGAGGATGTGTTTTCCAATGTCCTCTGTAGTTTGAACCTGCTAGGCCTGTCCAATATAAGAGCACAGTAGATTTTGCCTAGTGTAAATTTCCTCTGGACATTTTCCTCCCAGATCCTGCACTAGATTATTTTCATCTGTCAAGCCCTTGGTCTTGACTGGTCAGGGGTTTGCCCTAAGACACAGTGTTGTTTGTTTTAATTCCAATAATTATTTGTTAAGCAGTGAAATATGGAGTCACATGCAGGTCTTGGGTTTTCTTTCCCTAGGATTGTTCCAGCCTCAAACTGCAGCATGTGGCACAATTAACTGCCAGAGGCGTCTTTGCTGTTGGATCTTGCCCACGTCTGAAAATCATCTTTACTGCCTGCCATGTGATTACGCAAGCGACCTTTGGGTTTCTCAGTTTTTGAAAAACAAAAAAGTATGACAATGTACGTCACTCATGGAAATGTCCCACAGTGAGATTGTGACATTGTTAGTGAAACTGGAGATGTGGAAGCTCATGCTAGCTTAGGAAGAGCCCACTCCTTGCTCTGCCACAGCCTGGCTGTGTGGCCTCACCGGCGTCACTTAACGCTATCGGGGCCTCCGCTGTCCTTTCTATGAGATGTGACAGGAAGGATACTTTCATGTTTCAATATTTTAGAGTTTGGGGTATAATACTGTTTGATATTAAATAATATTCTTTAAAGGTGTGTTTCGAGATATGCTCATTTTAAAAGAAATTTTAGGGATTAATTTTGTAACTTTTTATTAAAAAAATTATACAATGTAGTTTGATCATGCTTTTCATTCTTCTGATATGCCTCCCAACATCCATATACAACTTTATGTTCTTTTCTCTCTTTCTTGCAAAAGAAAATAAAAATGCAAAAATAAAACAACAAGCAAAATACAACAAACCAAGACCCCCCTCCAATAAACCCTAAAATCAAAACAATCAAGCCTGAAAGACTGTAAGACAAAAATGCTAAAACAGAGTAAAAATGAAACAAAAGTCTACAAAAGTCCCAGTGAGTTCCTTTTGTGTTGGCCAACTACTCCTGGGCGTGGGGCCTGCCAGATATGTGGTTATTACACCCAGGGAGACTCCACTGGGGCAAACATTCTCCCTTTGCCTATGGTCATTGGTTGCACATAGTGTCATGGTTAGGGTGGGACCCTCAATGCTAGGACCCCATCTGGCTTGGAACTGTGCAGGTCCTGTGTGCTCTGTCATAGTCTTTGTGAGTTCATATGTGCATGAGTTCTGTTGTGTCTGGAGAACACTCTTTTCTTGGAGTGATCCATCAGCTCTTAGAATCCTTCTGTTTCCTCTTCCACATAGCTCCTGGAGCTTCGAGGGGGAGGAGCTTGCTGAAGACATCCCATTTAGGGCCGAGTGCCAAGTCTTCCATTCTCTGTACGTTGTTCAGTTGTGGGTGCCCGTGTTAGTTCCCATCTCCTGTAAGAGGCAGCTTCTCTGAGGTCGGTTGAAGGAGGGGCTGATCTATGAGTGCAGAATTATGTTACCAGGAGTCATTTTAGTGCTGTGATCATTTAGCAGAATAACTGGAGTAGGTTTACTCCTAGGTCTGTGATCCATCTAGTCTCAAGTTCTTGGGTGCTTTAGCAGTTTCTGGTATGAGTTCAAATTTGTGTCAACCATATTTTTAAAATAAACAAGTATAGTTATCTGCATTTCATGATATAGATGTGTTGAGATTATATAAATTATCTAAAGTTATAATCCTGTTAGTGGTGGTAGTGAGTCGAGAGCCCAGAAATTCTATTCCCCATGCTATGTATTAGATGAAAGAGAGCTGACCCTCCTGTGCTATTGGTGGGGGATTGTTGAGGCACATTCAACCACAATAACTCAGCTTTATCAGTACTAACTGAGTGTGTTTTATGTGTTTAATGGTGAGTAAACTGTGCTATCTAGCTTCAAAAAAGGTGTGGTCTGGTGAGAGTCCCATATAAACAGTTATAGGAAGCACTATTCTAAAGGTATTTTTAGGACTACCTCTTCTAACCAGGATGAAGTAACAGGAGCTGGGCTTCCTTTCCCACCTCCAGGCAACAGTAACACTGAACAATACACGCTAAGTAATGCCTCTCAAGTCACTAGACAGAAGGAAGCAAGGGAGAACAGAAGCCTAGATGAGTCCTATGCTTACTTCAGCTTACTACTTTGAGTTTCCAGGTCACAGTGGAGAGAGAGAAGACTAGAGGATCTTACAAGTTCTCAGTGTTTCTGGGAAGCAATGAGTGTGGGGAGCATGGTGGTCCGAGTTGACTGATGGAAAATCTCAGTGGAGAAAGCGTACAGAGATCAGTCCCACTCGATGCTCTCAATGCTTCAGTAGACTTGTGCTAATGAACATTGGTCTTGTGAGTGAGCTACTCCACACTGGAGGTTAGATGTAAATGCCTCTGAAGACCTAAGGGGCCAGGGATGGATACGGAGTCCTTCATGGAGAATAGAAAAGTTCATCATTTAAAAGACTGAGTGGAATACTGACAAAAAAATTTCCCAGGGAAAAAATTAGCACAAGCTTAAATGTTGATAACATCTAACAAAGCATAAGGCAAATCAGGAGAGATCAAGCTGTTTCCAAGCAACTTAATTGTAGCATGGAAGGGAGCTCAAAATATTTATAGGATGGTACAAATATGCAAGATATATCCACAATGTCTAGAAACGCAATAAAAATTATAAAACATGCAAAGAAGTGGGGAAATTTGCCTCAGAAAGAGAAAACTCTAGCAATAGAAACCAACTTAGAATACTCACAAATATAGAATTTATAGACAAAGACACTAAAATAGCTATAATTGCTTTAACGTCAAGAAAGTAGTGGGGAAATGGGGTATGCTAAGCAGAGGTATGGAAGATTAAAAATCTACAGTGTCTGCAATAAAAAAATACTACACTGCAATAACAGCAGATTAGACACCAATATATAAAATATTAGAAGAGCTGTCTATGGAAATTAGCTCACATAATTGTGGAGGCCAAGAAGTTCCATGGTATAATGCCACAGGAAAGCTCATAGTGTAACTGAGCTTGAGTTTGAAGGCTTAAGGAACAGGTGAGCGACAGACAGCACCCAGGTGTGGGCAGTGGTGTGATGTCTACAGGTGAGTGACAGCATCCAGGTGTGGGCTGTGGTGTGATGTCTACAGGTAAGTGACAGCACACAGGTGTGGGCTGTGGTGTGATGTCTACAGGTAAGTGACAACATCCAGGTGTGGGCTGTGGTGTGATGCCTCTAATAGCTTAAGGCAGAGCACAGATGTTTCAGTTCAAGAAGAGGGAAAAAATTGCCCTTCCACCACTGGTCACGTTTTTTTTTTTTTCTGCTCAACCTTTCAGTGGACTGAGAAGTGTCCATTAATATTAATTAATATTAATTAATTAGCTAGAGTTGGTCCTCTTTACTTGACCTACTGACCGAATTGATATTTTTTTTCTAGAAGCAGCCACACAGATATGCTAGAAATGAAGTTTTTATTAGCTATGTGTGTATCTCACAGGTTGGTCAAATTGGCATATAAAAATTAGCCATTGCATTCTATACAAGAAATGTCGCATCATTTAAAGGTAGACTGTGAGAAGTTAAAGATGAATAAGATGATCCCTAAAGATACTATGCAATTTAAACAAAGAATAATTACAAAAAAACCACAACCATTACATACTGTATTAGATAATTTTCCATTTTAAATTACCATAACCATGGCAACTGATAGGAAAGGTTTATTTGGGCTTATAGTTCTAGATGGTAAAGTGTCCATCAGAATCACTGTAGGGAGTCACAGCAGCAAGCCTTAGCCATGGTGTCAGGAACAGCTGAAAACCTACTTCTCCAAATAAAAGCAGCAGCAGCAGCACGAGAGAGAGAGAGAGAGAGAGAGAGAGAGAGAGAGAGAGAGAGAGAGAGAGAGAGAGAGAACTAGGATGATGGTGAGGCTTTTGAAACCTCAAAGCCAGCCTCAGTGATACATTTTTCTCCAGTAAGGCGACTAAGCCTCTCTAAGCAGCATTACCAACTGCAGACCAAGCATTGAAATTCTGGAGAATATGAGAGACATCTCATTCAAACCACCATAAATGTAATCACCCAACAAAACAAAATAGAATTAAAAGACTATTCAAATAATACAGAAGAGTGTGGAAGAGATATAAAAAGGGACCCAGAATAGACTGGAAGTTAGGAAACCAGTGACAGTGTGATCAATTGATGATGTGTATGAATCCAGAAATTTTCAAATAGTCAGGATATATATATATATATGTATACATATATATGTATACATGTGTACATATATATATGTGTGTGTGTATAGTGTAAAATGTCATATAAATGTACATGTGCATTTGTAAATATGTATATGGATCAGAAAACCCACTTGAAGTGAAAGATAAGTAAAAAACAAAAAGATAGAAAAGGCTGATCATGCTATCCCTAAGCAAAGAAAGTAGGAGTGGATATTTTATTACGAAAGTAGATTTCTGAATAAAAATATTAACAAAGGTAAAGGATATTAATTAATTGAGCTGAAAGTGTTAAGTCTTCATTTGAAACACAAGAGAGAAAAATCTGGGGGAGCTACTAGTAGATAAATACACAATTATAGTCAGAAATGTCAATAGCTCTCTTTTGGTACTTAATGTAACAAGTGGACAGAAAATCAGTAGAAATATAGGTGACTCGGACAACCCCATAAACCAGCCTACACTAATTGACATTTATAAATCACATTACCCAATAGCGGTAGAATATACATTATTTTCAAGTTTCTAGTATATTCACCTTTTTACTAAGATAAATATATCAGGACCATAGGATGAACCTCAGTAAATTTAATAGGCTTCAAATTAAAGTCTGTTCTCTTCCCACGAAGCAACCATATTAGAACTTCAGACAGAAAGATCTTTATAAATCCCAAAATATCTGGAAACTAAATAGCATAGTTAAAAATATCCATGAATCAAAGAAAAAATGAAAGAAAAAAATTTAAAATACTTCGTGTTGAGAAAAAAAAAGAAAATGTAATCAATTAAGTCCTATTGGGATCATATGTAAGAGAGTTTTAAAGGGAGCTTTATACTACAAAGCGTGCAGATGTGAAGACTCACAGCAGTGGAGATGGACAACCGCAACCTCGACAAGTCAAAAGGACAAAGAAAACCCAACGTCTTCACATGAACAACTCTACATTTGAAATAAAATTCACTTTAAAATATAAGACAAATATTAAAGGAAGATTAATGGGAAAAGAAGCTGAGGGCATCAGAGATCAATAAGGTTGATAAATCTCTAGCCAAATTGACCAGGAGAAGAAAAACAGGCAAAAGTTCCAATATCAAGAATAAGTAATTTTCAGATTGGCTCAGGATTCTTTTGTAGCCCAGAATGACCTTGAACTCATGTTTTTCTTCCTGTATCTCTGGACTGTTGGGGTTACAGGAGTGTGCTACCACGCCTGGCTCTTGATGACATGTTAGGTGGGTACAGGATTTTCAGAGAGTCAACAATCTTGGCTCTTTAAAGATGTTGTTACATCATGGTCCTCCTTGTAAATTTCTGGTAAGAGTCAGATGTGAGTTCTACTGTTTTACTGCTTTAGTTCATACTTTCTGTGTCATCTGCCCCTGTCTGACTTAACCAATTACCAGACTTTCCCAAGGTTTATCTGCTTTTA